AAAAAAAAAAAAAAAAAAAGAATTTAATAAAATTGATAAATTGGGATAGTTTAAAATTAAAATTTTCTATTCATCAAAAGCCATATGAAGAGACTAAAAAGGTAATTCATAGAGTGGAAGAAGTATTTGCAATACATATATCTGATAAAGCATTTGAGTATCTAGAACACACTCATACAAATCATTAAGAAAAAATTCAATGGAAAAATGAACAAATATTTTAATGGACATTTTATAAAGAAGAATAACCAGTGGTCCAATAAACAGGTGAAAAGTTTATAATCCCAATAATTATCTGAGAAATAGAAATTAAAAACCTCAATGCAATACCATTACACACCTACTAGAATGGTTAAACTAGAAGAGACAGAAAATACTAAGTATTGGTTAGGATTTGGAGTAATTGGAACTCTTACACATTGCTGGCCCCCATTTTGGAAAAATTTTTGGCAGTATAGTGCTATATATATAATAGCTGAATATAGGCATGCCTTATGACCCAGGCGTAACACACCTAGATCTGTATTGGTATTGGTCTGCTTGGGCTGCCATAACAAAATACCACAGATTGGGTAGCTCAACAGAAATTTATTTCTCAGAGTTCTGGAGGCTAGGAAGTCCAAGATCAAGGTGCTGGCCAATTGGGTTCCTAATGAGGGTTCTCTTCCTGGCTTATACATGGCTGCATTCTCACTGTGTCTTTGCATGGCGGAGAGAGAACTCTGCTGTCTCTTCCTGTTTGTTTGTTTGTTTGTTTGTTTGTTTGTTTTATGGTTTTGAGACAGAGAGTCTCACTCTGTTCGCCCTGGCATGCAGTGGCACTATCATAGCTCACTGCAGCCTGGAACTTCAGAGCACAAGCAATTCTCCTACCTCAGACTCCTGAGTAGCTGGGACTACAGGCACACACCACCATGCTCAGCTATTTTTTTTTTTTTTTGTAGAGATGGGGGTCTCACTATGTTTCATTTATATATGGTGTAAAAGTAGGCAAAAACTCATCTATGCTATTAGTGTTAGAAGGCAAGACAGTGATTAGTTACCCTTAGCGGAGTGGGTCTAGGGGGAAGCCTGTGACTAGAAGGAACATGAGGATTTCTGAGAATTATTCTCTTTCTTGATCTGGATCCTGGTTGAATGAGTGTATTCACTTTGTGAAAATTATTTTAACTGTACACATTTGATATGTGTATCTTTCTCTTTCTTTCCTCCTTTCTTTTTCTTTTCTCTTTTTCTCTTTCGAGGCAGTATTTTGCTGTGTCACCAGGCTGAAGTGCCATGGCATGATTATGGCTCACTGCAGCCTCTACCTCCCAGGCTCAAGAGATCCTCCCAGCTCAGCCTCCCAAGTAGCTGGGACTACAGACCTGAACCACTATGCCCAGCTAATTTTTTGTATTTTGTATTTTTTGTAGAGACATGGTCTCACTTTGTTTTGCAGGCTGATCTTGAACTCCTGGGCTCAAGCAATCCCCCTACCTCGGCCTCCCAATGTGTTGGGATTACAGGCATGAGTTGCAGTGCCCAGCTGATATATATACTTTTCTATATGTATATTATACTTCAATAAAAAGTTTGAAACAGAAAATGAGTTCTACAGGTAGTACTATGTATTAACACATCCTGTTGTTATCATTCATTATCTGCAGAGAACATGTCACTGTGGACTTGACCCAGATCTTATCCTGTACATGTATAGAACAGTTATTCTCATGTTGCTTTTCTGATCTTACTGTGAGATCCTGATTTATTCATATATTTCTAAGTGTGATTTAAAACAGAATAGATTAGGGATGTAGTATTCAACTCACTGCTATTCCCAGAGGGAGAAGTGTAGGAAAGTTACTGGGTGCCTATGTCAGCAAGTTGGTAAAAGATAAAGGAACTATGAACAAGAGATAGAAATGTTTACATTTAGGATTTTATTTTAAATTTCTACTTTGAGGCCTAAGGGCCTTTGGTTCCATGAAAGAAGGACCATGGAGAGGATGCTGTCCCATTCATATTCCAGCATGCTTTAGAACTTAAAAATAGATACAGGAGCCACAGACATTGGTTTTCTAGAAACCCAAATCTGTTTGGTGGCTCAGTGCCCTCTAAGCCATGCTCAGCACCAGGAGAGGTGGCTTGAGAGACCCCTGCAGCTGGATGAATGTTCATTAATTCTCCCCCACTCCGCCAGTGGCAAATGCCGCTCCCTGCTCCGTTCCTGTATCCTTGTGTTGCCCTGGCAAGGACAATATACATTGGCTTTATGCAAAATTATCCTCATGGAAATACTGAGTTATGGCAGAAGTCGTTAGGAAAGGAAGGAACTGCTATATTCTTATTTAGATCTTCTTGAGTCTTTCTGTTGAACTGATTGAGGTTCTGAAGGCCCCCAAGGAGTAGGCTGCTGTTACAGAGTGGCAAGAAGAATTATTGTAGTAAAGCACTTTACTGTTAACATAGTGGGTATAGACTTCATCCAAAAGCATCTCGTGTCTCAACTACTGTCGGTGTTTCTCTTCACTGGAACGTAGACTTCCTAAGGCCAGGGATTTATGTCTGTTTTATTAACTTTTGTGATCCCAGCACCTAAAACAGTACTTGGCATATGGAAGGCACTCTACTTGTTGAATAAATGAGGGGTATGGGGGAAAGTGGGTGAAGTGAATACAATCAGTATGTTTGAAAGATGTTGGAGAAAGGAAGTTACAATATGTAGGGTCAGTGGTTTTAACTAAAATTTTAATTTTGATCGTTGGAGAGATTAAACTGCAGAATAGGTAAGAAAGGTATCCAAGGTCATATATCAGAATCAAGACTAAAAATCCTGTCCTCCTGGCTTTCAGTGTGCTTTTCGTTAGGAAACAGTTCTACTCCTGAAGCTGTCCTCTTAGGTTTAGCAAGAGTTCTGGACAGAAATAGGGTTACAATTAAGCATTAATCAGGCTGCACTTCGGCCGACTTCCTTGTGACTGAAAGTCACACAGCACTACGTACTGACCACTTGCATCCCCACTGTTCCCACAGATGGGATTTCTGACTGTAGAATCATAAGGCTTTTCTTTAAGAATTGCTTAAGATGTTTTTCAGATCTCAAATTCCAGTGAAACAGCTGACACCAACCAGTTTGAAGACCTCCACAGAGGAACGGAATCACTATGAGAATCCACTTTCTTCATCTCTCTGTCTCATGGCTTCGCCTTGCACTGTTTGACCAATCAATGTTCTCCACACTTTGGTCTGCCCTAAAACCCTTAAAAACCCAGCCCAGCCCCAAACTCCTAGGTGAGACAAATTTGAGATTTCCTCCCATCTCATTCTTTCTCTGCTATACCCCAGTCCCAGTGTCTTGGTGTATTACCTTGCTGTGCACATCAGGCAATAGAACAATTATGGTTACACTCCCAACTCCTGCTGTGAATGCTGATACTCTGGAATCCGGAGGCAAGGAGGCATATTCGTGACTTTTTTTTTTTTTTTTTGAGTTAGGGTCTTGTTCTGTCACCCAGGCTGGAGTTCAATGGTGCGATCTCAGCTCACTGCAGCCTCAACCTCCTAGAATCAGATGATCCTCCCTCCTTAGCCTCCTGAGTAGCTGGGACTGTAGGCACATGCCACCACACCTAGCTAAGTTTTTTATTTTTTGTAGAGATAGAATCTCCCTATGTTGCCCATGCTGGCCTTGAACTCCTGGACTCAAGTGATCCTCCTGACTCCCAAGATGCTGAGATTTCAGGCATGGGCCACGCTGCCCAGCCTATATTTGTGACTTTTAAAATCTGATAATGACATATGCTGATAGATAACAGTTCATTTTATGGGCATGTTTCCAATATCACAAATCCTCATATGTTTGGGGAAGTATTTGAAAACATAGCCAAATAAATTCACCTTGTCACATGGGTCATAGTTATGATTCCATCTTCATAAAGTGAGCCTTGTTTTATCAACAGATACATTCATGAAAAGCATGTGACATTTTGGTAACATGAATAATTTTTTTACACCTAATCCTGAAGACGTTTTGGCTTCATTGCTGATCTTCAATGACAGTGGCTCTTAGCCCTTTAGCTTTAACTGTCTCTGCCCCCTCCCACACCCCATCTCACTGACAAGTAGTTAATGATCTATAAACAAATACTGAAATGCCCTAAGGGGACCCTCAATTTAAGGAGTCCTTGAATCCTGTGATAATGGAAATACAGTAGTCCACCAGCTGATTTACGATTTGTCAGTTTAGGTTTTTGAAGGGAAGTTCCACTGGTATTTTCAGATGGTAGAGGTTTTTAATTTACTGCACAATAGCACTAGACTTTCTCTATTTTTTTCTTTCAGGGGAAAACTTTCAAAAATGCTAACCTGCCTTTGAAGCTCCATTGTGTGAAATACCACTTTGTGTGTGCACATTTCAGTTTCTTAAGCAAAAAGTGGCTACAGAGGGTATTAATCTCCATGTAATGATATCTACCAGTTTCTAGGTGTTTATGTTATTCTAGGTGCTTTACACCTACTGTCTCATTTAAACAACACTCCAGAGGAAGGTTTCATTTTCTTCATTTTCAGGCTGAGGGAATGAAATGTCAAAAGTCAGAGAGGGTAATGTGGTTATTCACAGTCACAGAGCAGGCAGGTGGTGGAGCTGGGATTTGAACCTGTAAGAGCTGGACTCAAAAACCCATGCTTTGAACACAAAGACTCAGGAAATAGCATTCTAGACCCAAAATACAATCCAGTTAACCAGAAATCTATCTGGCTGAAAGTAAATTTTGGGGCATGCATGATGACTCAAAAAGAATGACTTTGGCCGGGCGCAGTGGCTCACGCCTGTAATCCCAGCACTTTGGGAGGCTGAGGGGGCGGATTACCTGAGATCAGGAGTTTGAGATCAGCCTGAGCAACATGGTGAAACCCCGTCTCTACTGAAAATACAAAATTAACCGGGCGTGATGACACATGCCTGTAATCCCAGCTACTCAGGAGGCTGAGGCAGGATAATTGCTTGAACCTGGGAGGCGGAGGATGCTGTGAACTGAGATCGCGCCATTGCACTCCAGCCTGGGCAACAAGAGTAAACCTCCGTCTCACCAAAAAAAAAAAAAAAAAAAAAAAAAAAGTGACTTCTTTTTTTGTTTTGTTTTTAGATGGAGTTTCGCTCTTGTCCAGGCTAGAGTGCAATGGCACAATCTCGGCTCACTGTAACCTCTACCTCCTGGATTCAAGCAATTCTCCTGTGTCAGCCTCTGGAGTAGCTGATTACAGGCATGTGCCACCACACTCAGCTAATTTATGTATTTTTAGTAGAGATAGGGTTTCACCATGTTGGTCAGGGTGGTCTCAAACTCCTGACCTCAGGTGATCCACCTGCCTGGGGCTCCCAAAGTACTGGGATTACAGGCGTGAGCCACTGCACCTGGTCGAAAGAGTGACTTTCAAAACTAGATTACTTTAAAAAATTGATGTAAAACAACTATTTCTATGTATATTAAAAAGTACTTTTAGAATATCTTTAAAATGGAAAGCCATGTGCTAATAAGTTTGGACACCCCCAACAAAGGTCCCAAATGTAAGCAAATTATCAAGCTCTAAAACTCGGGTTTGAGTTGGGGAACCTGAGGAAAGTATGTGGATTCTTTGGACTATTTTTACAACTTTTCTATAAGCCTAAAATTTTATTCAAACAAAAACGTTTAGTTTTTTAAAGTTAGGTTTTAATTTAGAGAGCATCTGGCTGCAGTTGGGGTGGATATGAGTAATGCTGCTGCTATGAATAATATGCACATTAGTCCAAGCCAGCATCTCCATGAACCACAACTTGGGGTTCAGCTTCTTTTATTTATTTCTCATTGCTATTCCTAATAAAGCAAGATGTTAAAGCTAAGTACATGCTCTATTAATTATATGAAGGTGAACTTGAGTCATATTTGTTACTGAAGATGATTAATAATTACCAGTTCTGTGCACGTTTCTGGTGCATTTCAGTAAATAAACAGGGTACATTGTTGGGTAGTAATTGATTAATTAGCACATTCATCCTACACAGCTCAATGGTCTAAGGATGCTGAGTTTGAGATATTGCTCATAATTATTACAAGAAACAAGTCTGTTTCATTTCTCAGTTTATTCTTCTGTACACTAAGTTTTTTTTTTTTTTTTTTTTTCCTAAATCGAATGCTTAATGGTTCAAAACCTTTTAGGTTTTCTTCAGATAAATCAACTCATGAAAAATTGCTAGTCATAATCACAGAATCTTGTTTTTGTGTGAACTAGGGTGAAAACTTTTCAAGGCTAATTTTAACACGGGATCTTGCTGTTAAACTGGATCAAATACTGTAAATATAGGGCACTTCCCCACCATGCAGGAAATGCTCATTGAGCACCTATGCGCAACAGGGGCACTGGAATCTCATTTGCTTCCCAACCACATCAAATAAGCTCAGGATTGCAAGTGTCATCAGGTTGGCACTTTGCAGCACCAAGCAAATATACTGAGTAATCTTCAGAGAAGGATAACAGCATGCGTCGGTCGCCATTTTAAGTGTGTAGCAAGTTACGAATTTTGTTCTAATTTATTGAGCCAGCATGCAGCGGAGAGACAGGGTA